TAAAATAAAAAAAGAACAGTTTAGTACCCATCCCCATGTTAAAGTTGTAGCCAGGTTTTTTTATAAAATTTGAAATTTGTCTTAGTTGATGTGAGTCACCTACAGATTGCGCTGATCTAAATTACTGATTTCTGCCTATTACATGATGGTTTTTACCAAGTCAAACTGATGGAATGACTTATTATGAGCTATAGCAACTGTTGTGACCCAGCAACTATGCCAGTAACGAAAAATAAGGTACAAAATAGAGTTTTAGACACTAGCGCAATCTGTGACTGGCTCACACAACTACATTCTTTTTAGTAAAAAATTGGCGACAGCTGATCCATATAGATGGGATGTCTTCTTCTGTATCCAATAGTCAATGGTACAACTTAATGCACTTAAATGTTGCATGATAATAAAAAATCCGTAGCTGTGTGATTTATCTGTGTGATTTATGTGAGTGGTTTTGTTTTCTTACGAAAAATCTTTCAGAAAATGTATAGGATAATGTTCCACTCCAATAAAGTATTTGAACAGGTTACGCCCACGAACATCAAAGGTGTGTTTGCCATGATTTGGTTATTGTTACCAATTCACCGATATCATAATCTCGGAACTTAAAACCTGAAACAATCATGTTGTATATAGAGCAGCGTGATTGCAGTACTTATCCAGAGTCAATGATAACATCCCATCAGGTATGTGCGGAACAACAAACACATTCTAACTAATGATGCTACATAGCACTGGTTCTTACTGGCTGGTTATTGACTGGACAAAACAAACATTTGAATGTAATGGAAGTGAATGAGAATTGTGTAATAACCGACATGATATTTTGTTCATCAGCCAAATTGTTCAGATTGCTACTAAATGTGCGCAGGTATTGTAAATCAACAAATCTGAGTTACCTACAATGCATGTTTAATTCACTCCGCCCACTCCAGATCAGGTTTAGATGTTTGAAGAATACATGAAGAAATCATTAATGTTGAGGCTTAGTTATCCTACTAATATTATGAGTGAGAAAGTTTAGATGGATGTATATGGATGGATGGATGGATGGATGGATGCATGGAAGTTTGTGACAAGTAAACGCGAAAAATACTGGTCGGATTGGGCTTAAATTTAGTGTGATGTTAGCTTACATTCCCGATTAACATATAGAAGCATTCTTATCTCAAAAATCTTTTTCCATTGGCTCTGGAGTTTCCCCACGTTACCCTATGAGTATTCATATTTAAAAGGAATAAAATAATTTTGTCGGCTGTTTCAACTATTGAAGTTGGTTTTATGATTTTAAATAGTATTAAAAAGTTATACGATTTACCAACAGGATGCAGCACTATTATTTGTTCATTTATGACAACACCTAATTTGAACCAATAAAAAACCCTTTATCTACAAGCAACAAAAAGCTGTGAAAATTGAGAATTTCACTTTTTTATTGTTTAGGGGCAGGGGTAGAACATTATGGCTAAGGTAGAATTGATATACTATAGAATACCGCAAATTAAAAGAACCAAATTTTCTTAAACCGTGTCCTCTTTCATTGCAAACGCAAACCACGAGGGGAATGTTGCTGGAAGTCAACAGTGCCGGAAGGTCAAATAATTTATACCTGTGCCGCTAGGTCAAAAACTACAATGTTTGCAGTGTCTGTAGATCAAGAGTCCCAGTAAGTCAAATAATACAGTCCGTGCTAAAGCACGAGTATAAATGCAATAAGCATTTTATACTTATACGCCAACCCCGTACGAAGAACGAGTACTCTGCTAGTTGTACAATATAAACATTGTTTTAATATATATTAGCCAAAAGATACGCAATCAAATGGAGAGTCGGTGTTTGAGTATTTTAAGCTAATACACAGCTAATATGAAGACTTAATATAATTCTTCCTAAGCAATTTGTACGTTAAATAAGATATTAAGTTAAAAATTACCCTGGAGATTCTCAGTTAGAATTAGATACAAACAATGTTAAATCAGTTACACTTTTATGGATATAAAAGCATTAATGAATTGGCGAGGGTGTAAGAAGAGCAAAGTCAATCCAATTAACGCAAGCTCATGATACTGATTGACAAGGGAGGACGCTGTTAGCTCGTAATTTATTGGAGAAACATTACAGAGCACTAATACAATGGGAGACCATAAAAGGGGAGCGTTCGGTCGAGTCTAATGTTATTTTTCAATAAAGAACGTCCCCTATCGTTATTAATACGAATGATCTCGGAACATGTTGGCCCGGGATGGCCTACCGCGTGCTGTGGATGCGTACTTAACGTGCTCAAGTATGCGATTCTCTTACGTTTTATGTTTGTATTATTTATAGCGTCGTAATTCAACAACCTTCGAAGACGTCGAGAATGTTCTACAATCCAGTACAACATTTGATCTAAATATGACAAAAGACTCCATTTTGAATTGAATTCAAACTATAAACTATGAGTTTTAGGTATTATTGTTAGTTAAAACAAAATTGCTTCTCTATGGTTTTATTTCTTTTATTTCTGACACAAAAATAAATTGTTGGATATGTCCATGTCTATGAATAATGCTTAAATAATCATCAGGGTATATACATACATATGTATGTAGAACGTGTAATGTCATCCCAATGACAACTACAGAAGTGTTTGTTAAAATGTTGAAAACTACCAAAAACCTATCATTGTGAACAGTGAAACTAATGAAACAACAGCTTTATTTGTACAGAGCTATTTAATATACACATTATACAGTCATGAGACGAAACTTACATAGAATATAATCAGGTTAGCAATTGACACTTGATTATTTGGAAATATACGAAGAAGTATCAAAATCATACCTCATATTACAGTGTGTTTTTAGGAGTATTTAACTTTAGTTTACTCAGTATATGTCAATGAGATTAAACCGTTTACACCAAACATTGAGAAACCTGTGGATGATATTAGAGTAAAATTTTATAGGACCGTTTCGAGATAGATTTCATTAAAGAATCTTGGAAACAAACGGTGGAGCTCGACTTACAAGAATATCTCCGGTAAATAAATCGGCGCCGTTTATTTTTATGACAGAACTCCAGCGTAATATGGGTCCCGATATCTACAAAAGGAAACGAATGATTTCGGGATGTCGAGGGCGTGTAATACTTCTACTATTACACAATAAATCGAATGACGGTTCTGGTGCTGGGCGGGAGGTAGGGGAAAGGTGCTTGAGACTGCATTCAATAAACAGATCGGAGGAAGGATTTATCGATGGTTGGGTGGAATCATTCAACAGTTTTGGTGGCCGCTCGACTCCCTGCCATCGGTAATTGAAAAGATAAGAATCAATTGTCTGTTGGCGCCGTCCGCAGCGGTTGCTAGGAGACACTCTCTCTGACCACTCCCCCTGTCTTACTCATACCCTCAACATCTTGGACAACTACCATCACCTACCACGGACACTACCACTATCGTATCTGAAACTCCAGCACCCACTCTTTCTATCTCACACCATGTGCTAGGAGACACTCTCTCTGACCACTCCCCCTGTCTTACTCATACCCTCAACATCTTGGACAACTACCATCACCTACCACGGACACTACCACTATCGTATCTAACACTCCAACACCCATTCTTTCTATCTCACACCATGTGCTAGGAGACACTCTCTCTGACCACTCCCCCTGTCTTACTCCTACCCTCAACATCTTGGACAACAACCATCACCTACCACGGACACTACCACTATCGTTCTAACATTCCAACACCCATTCTTTCTAGATCACACCATGTGCTAGGAGACACTCTCTCTAAACCACTCCCCCTGTCTTACTCCTACCCTCAACATCTTGGACAACAACCATCACCTACCACGGACACTACCACTATCGTTCTAACATTCCAACACCCATTCTTTCTAGATCACACCATGTGCTAGGAGACACTCTCTCTAAACCACTCCCCCTGTACTCCTACCCTCAACATCTTGGACAACTACCATCACCTACCACGGACACTACCACTATCGTTCTAACATTCAAACACCCATTCTTTCTAGATCACACCATGTGCTAGGAGACACTCTCTCTAAACCACTCCCCCTGTCTTACTCATACCCTCAACATCTTGGACAACAACCATCACCTACCACGGACACTACCACTATCGTTCTAACATTCCAACACCCATTCTTTCTAGATCACACCATGTGCTAGGAGACACTCTCTCTAAACCACTCCCCCTGTACTCCTACCCTCAACATCTTGGACAACTACCATCACCTACCACGGACACTACCACTATCGTTCTAACATTCCAACACCCATTCTTTCTAGATCACACCATGTGCTAGGAGACACTCTCTCTAAACCACTCCCCCTGTCTTACTCATACCCTCAACATCTTGGACAACTACCATCACCTACCACGGACACTACCACTATCGTTCTAACATTCCAACACCCATTCTTTCTAGATCACACCATGTGCTAGGAGACACTCTCTCTAAACCACTCCCCCTGTACTCCTACCCTCAACATCTTGGACAACTACCATCACCTACCACGGACACTACCACTATCGTTCTAACATTCCAACACCCATTCTTTCTAGATCACACCATGTGCTAGGAGACACTCTCTCTAAACCACTCCCCCTGTCTTACTCATACCCTCAACATCTTGGACAACTACCATCACCTACCACGGACACTACCACTATCGTTCTAACATTCCAACACCCATTCTTTCTAGATCACACCATGTGCTAGGAGACACTCTCTCTGACCACTCCCACTGTCTCACTCCTACCCTCAACATCTTGGACAACTACCATCACCTACCACGGACACTACCACTATCGTTCTAACATTCCAACACCCATTCTTTCTAGATCACACCATGTGCTAGGAGACACTCTCTCTAAACCACTCCCCCTGTCTTACTCATACCCTCAACATCTTGGACAACTACCATCACCTACCACGGACACTACCACTATCGTTCTAACATTCCAACACCCCTTTCTTTCTACCTCACACCACGTCCGTGACTTTTGCTAGGAAACACTCTCTCTGACCACTTCCCCTGATACTCGGCCTGATAGCCGAGTGGCTATAGTCCTCGCCTAAACAATCAAATGGTCACCGATTCCATAATTAGAAAAGCCAGTAGCTTCTTGATGGCTCAAAACTGGACCCAGCTGTCCCTCTGTTCATTGAGCGTTAAATAAATGATCCTGGCTACTGAAACAGCGGATTTTAATCAGTTACAAAGATCATCTCACTGATCTCACTCCATTCTACAGCCATTATTTCACAACACACCCATTTTATACATCCATTACATCCTTCACTAATATATGGGTTAAATACTCACGTAGGTGGCGTCTCCAACTAAATTTAAATAATAATTGAAAATTGATAGTTGATACACTCAATATCTTGATAAAGTAATATCTCAGATGCATAAATGCAACAGAATTTGCCTTTTGCATGGATCATGGGAAACATAAGATTCCCGTAGAGCCCAAAACGTTTTAAAAACCTTAGCATGGCATGCTAAAAAAATAATTTTACCAGATATCCCATTTATCATTTCATAATACAAATGAATAAGGGGCTGGTAGAAGTCCATTGCTAACTTTACACGAAATAGAGTCATTTTCAACCATATTTTTGGAAGAAGTAATAAAGGTGGAATTCGGAGTAAAATTCTTGCATAGCATAGCTCTGTGCTTATGATGTTTTTTGATAGGCACATTTTTTGATGTATTTGATCATTATTAAAAATACTTTTAGAAATAAAAATCATTTTGTAATCAGAGCAACATGATGAGAACAGTAACTCCACCACTATACTGGAACTAGGTGTGGACTGAATACCATTATCAAGAGAATAACGCCCTGACGGAGAAAAACGAATGTTATATATTCTTTGGCAAAAAGAATAGTCGTAGGGTGTTAAGACTTTGATCTTAAACGTGATGGATAAATTTAATTACCTAACTAAACCAAGTTTAATCATTTTAGGGAGTTAAAAAGTCTGTGTACAACTTCTAAACCAAATATAAATATTTGTTAGAGGTGTTATAAAGAACTTTAAAATCTCTTAATCCATTCTTCATTTGAGTCTTAGAAACATTTCACTGAAACGTTGATGCAGATGGTTACCGTAAAACCTAATGTTATCAAACTGCAACTCCAAGCCTTAGTTTAAGCATTCCAACACTCAATGGCTGCAATATAAAACTACTACAAAGTTGAATAAAGATTGAATCTACAATCTACTGGAAAGCCAACATTAGGATTTTTGTACTACTGAAAACGTGGCAATACTTTATGAACCAACAAATAATAGAGTACCAAACTGATCTTTCACCTCCATCCATCTACTGCTGGATAGGTTAGTAAGCAAGTGTACCCAATAAAAAATTAATTTGTCACTATAAGTCAACTGTTTGTCAGTTTCTAAGCGAGCTTAAAGGGTACTACTCAATCCACAAGATTTTCCTAAATTTTGATTCGGAAGCTTAAGTAGTTAGTTTGGTTTAATGATGGAAGGATAAGGGCAAATCATGATACTTAGGTAAATAAAAATAAACATCTAATACTGTTTAGTTTGAAGTCAAGGTTTTAAAAAGTATAGGCTATTTTGCACAGTTTTTCGTAAGTTTAATTTTAAGGGGGACGTTTGTTAATTTTACTTACTTTATTCAATTTTGTTACATGAATAGTTGAAATTGGTTGATCATTATTTTTCTATAAATTGAAAATATGAATAGATATGTAAAATTTTTTGGGGTTTTCGTAGATATATTTTGTCATAAAATTTCTGAATCAAAATACTGAAGGAACAGAATGACATAATTACTGATAAAACTTACAAAAATCCTACCAAAAAGTAAACGAATTGGTACAAGAGACCCTATGCTATATTATGTATTACATTCTTATAGCAATGTTTACGAAAACACAGAGTATTATTTAAAGACAATTAGAACAAATTCCAACGACAGATGTACACTTAAAATAATTATTTTCATTTTTTCACTTGCCCGACAAAACGGTTGGTAGCGAAAAGTGGGTTGAGATCAGTAAATAATGAAAGTGTCGATAGCGCATTTTCCGCTCCGGCTCTAGAATGACACATGGCCGGATATACAGTGTGTGGTCCTGGTGGTATAGACTGGGGCGATTCAATTATTGTGGGATTTGTGGATGGAGTGAACATGGCGCCATCTTGAAGGGATTTTCTCAACATCTTCCTGACAGACTATTGTGGGACGGAATATCCTCGAGTAATAACATTTCTTCTCCAGCTTTTATCTTCTCGCCAATCTTTATAAGCAATAGAGTACGTAACTTCAAGTGTTTTCAAATACATGGAGCACAGAACCTGTTACTTGTATAGTGGAGTTATTCTACTCTCTAAAATATCTTTCATGCTATACATTATGCAAACCACACTCAATAGTTCATGTTCTTGTAAAGTTCCCGATATTATAAAATCGGCGAATTGGTAACAATAAACAAAATCTTCACAAACACCCTTTGATGTTTATAGAAGTAACCTGTACAAATATTATATAGGAGTGGAACATTATTCCATAACATTTCCATAAGAATACAAAAATCACTCACCTAAATCACACATACGGATTTTTATAATCCCTCCATGATGAGACGCATTACTATCCTGTAAGTCAATTGCTATTGAATGTGCGGACATGCATATAAACTGACGGCAACCAAAACATAACGACATTAAAGGTGGTGTATGCATTTAGATAACAGTTTATTTACTGTGGCCAATGTATTAATCACGTTTTGCAATTTCGCGAAATAAAACTCCAATATAAAAACCAACCTCAAACAATGCGAGCTGAATATTTACGTCTCCCACTGGACGAGTTTTACCACATTTAAACTGCGCTGTTGTGTTTGATGTTGTAAAAAATAAAGTGGCTTTGGGCATTTGGAATAACGTTTTGTTTCAGCACAGTTTTAAACAATTACAAACACCAGCTATTTTCGTAGGTCGGAATCGTGTGTTATACAAACTAGAAATTAACATTGGTTGGGTACAGTTCTATAATATGATTGGAATATAATTTGATTACAAGTAGAATGAAAATGATTTTCCACATCGACTCTACCATGGGGGTTAATCAGGTCTAGAGGGTAGGAATGACACAGATGGGTTCTTTTTGTTTTATTACTCTGAGGTTCTATACACTAATAATGTGCAGAGGAAGATATTATAAATCGCCCTACAGTTTCAATAACCGCTAGACTGCAATCATCGGCAATTGAAAAGATAAGAATCAATTGTCTATTGTCTGCCGGCGCCGGCCGCAACGGTTGCTAGGAGACTGTACTATCACCATTGACCACTCTCTGATCACTGCGGTGATTCTTAGTGATTACACTTTGGTAATCACTAGGGGGTTTCGTTTTACAATGGAACCTTGATAAGAAGACCCTCGATAACAAGTCGCCCTTGATAACAAGTGTCATTTTCAAATCCTCTTAAAATTATTTTACCTCTAATCACATGATATTACAAACCTAGATAAGAAGTAAACCATGATAACAAAAGTCTTATTTTACAACGCCCATGAGAGTCTTGTTATCAAGGTTCTACTGTATAACCATTCGCTACGATACATTTTTAAACTAATTATGCACCCAATCTGAATTATGATAAGGTTTGATCAAGTGTAACCCGATTAAAAAATATAAACCGAACTTTCTTGCAAGGCTTTGAGAGATACAGAAAGGGTCTAATACTCCATTGAGGACTTTGGGGGCAGCTAAGTTCTTACTAGTCCGTCGTAACTGTAATGCCTAAAACGGCGAGAAAATAAACAGGCACGAGCAAATTCTCAAAACCACGTGAAGTCAGCTTTGCAATATCTTAATTCACAAGTTAGAAAGAAATTAAAATAACTTAAGGGTGTATAAGTAATTAATTAATTAGTAAAATAAATTAGTAAGCTAGTGTTATTAATAGTTTGAAAAAAAATTTCAGTTGTAGGAATAAAAGACAACACAGACTAACAAAAAAGTTCAAGTAGTTTGAATGAAAAGTGAGTTTAGTTCTCGTTGTTTATATTAACTTTTTTCAAATAATGGTTAGTTGAAGTTATAAAGCTGGGTTTATTTATCATATTTATTTATGTTTTGCCTTGATATTTTTATTAGTACTTCAATGAGTTTAACCTTAATCCTAAGATAATTTTTTTTTATTTATTTCCACAAAACTCTGATATCTGAGAACGTAAATGTAATTAGGTGACTTTGACCTCAAACTAATTTAATTTGTTTGAAAGTTGGAGATGAAGACATTCAATGACAAATAAATCAAACTTTACTGTGTTTATAAACACTGTAGTATTCACAAAACCATACAAACACAACACGTTTTTGTACAAAAACATATTCACTAAAGTGCCGCAATCATATGTTGCTACAGTGCTGGATATCAATATTATCTTTCATTGTAAATAAATTAATCTTTTTTACCCGAATTTTATTGCATCTATCTGCTAGAATTTTTCTTTATGAAACTTCCTTACCAACTAAGAGTAATTACAGTATTACTCATCTACTATAAGTCTAATGGTTTAAAAACTGGAAGTATTACTGTAGTGTATGTATCAATAGACCGTTTCTGGGGGTTGGAGAACAGAGTTAAAACTTTAAGTAAAATTTACATTAATGCTAATCCAATAAAGGAAACAAACATCTGAAAGTAGGAGTGTGTTGCTGGCGATAAATTGTCCTGTTAAAGGGTTTCAAACAGTTCCAGAGCCACAACTTAGTTATCAGACCGACTCGTAGACTTTGGCAATTAACTGGACACAAACAAACATTACCACGCTGCCGTCGTCCGTCGTCCAACCACGGCTAATCGTGTTATAAGGGCTCTGTGTCCGTGTCACTGATTTATTTAAACACACAGACACACATCTTTTTGTAATGACTTCGAAATACTTAAGAGGAGCTAAAAACAATTCGATGATTAAGATTGGTTTATCTTCAATAAAAAAATCTAAAACATAGTTCTGCGTTTATCTTGCCCATCAGTTTGAAATGTTGCTAAAATTTTACTATTTATTTTGAC